AACTCTAAGCTGGTTTATCTAACAGTCGACGGTCATGGCAACAATCGACAGTTTATCTAAAAGACCACAGGTTTATCTAACAATCTCCTCCTAAAACTTGTGGTATATCTACCTTATTGTTTGAATTCCGATCTTTGAGAGAAAATTTTCAAATTTCACTCGTGCCAGAGACTTGGTGAAGATGTCTTCAAGTTGTCCTCTATTCGGATGAAGTCAATCTTGATCAGCCCTCGATCTGCACACTCCTAAATGTAATGGAACCTGATCTCTATGTGCTTGCTCCAATTGTGCAATCCTGAGTTTTTGATCATGGAGATCGTAGCTTTGTTGTCCACATAAAACATTGGTGGATCGCCTTCTCTTCCGATCAGCTTCTTCATTAGCTGCACAAACCAGACCCCCTGTGTGGTCGCCGTCGAAGCGGCGATGTACTCTGCTTCGCAAGAAAATAGAGCAACTATCTTCTGTTTAGTTGATTTCTAGCCGATCGTGCCACTTGAGAGAAAGTAAATCATCCCGCTGGTGCTCTTACGATCATCAACGTCACCGATCATGTCACTATCACTGTAGCTAACCAGCTCAAGCTTCTTCCTTCCTCTCCCTACACAGTATCTCACACCCCAACCTCTAGTTTCGACCACATGGTGCAGGATGCGGTTGACAGCCACAAGATGCTCCTCCTTAGATGCTTCCATATACCTACTCACGTATCCAACGGAGTAGATGAGGTCAAGGCGTGTGTTTACCAGATAGTGTAGACTCCCGACGATGCTGCGGTAATTGGTGGCATCGACCGCCAGCGTAGTGTCGGCCTTCCTTAGCTGGAGTCGGGCCTCCATTGACATCCTTGTAGGGTTACTATCTGCCAGCCCAGCTATCCAACAGCTTCTTCGCGTACGGACTTTGACAGATGGTGATGCTGGTAGTACTCTGCTGCACTTTGATGCCGAGGTAGTAGCTGAGCGTGTCGAGGTCACTCATCTTGAAGATTTTTGACATCTCCCTCTTGACTCTTCCAAGAACTTCCATGTCGCCTCTAGTGATTATGAGATCGTCGACGTACACTCCCACGATCAACCGTTGCTCGTCGTGGTCACGCATGTACATCCCATGCTCAGAGGCACAATGCTTGAACTTGAGCGGCAGCAGGATACTGTCGAGCTTCACGTTCCAGGCTCGTGGTGCTTGTCGAAGCCCGTAAAGCACCTTGTGCAAGCGTAGTACCTTGTTGGGGTTGTCGTTGTCGATGAAGCCAAGTGGTTGTCGGACGTAGAAGATTTTCTTCAGCTCTCTGTTGAGGAAAGCGGACTTCTCGTCCATGTGGTGGACCTCCCAGGAGTGATGTCCTACAATCGCTAGCATCAGGCGGACGGATTTCAACCTTGCCACCAGTGTGAACACCTTTTCGAAGTCCACCCCTTGCTTCTAGACATACCCTTCGCCCCAGACGTGCCTTGTGCTTCACAACTTCTCCCTCTTCGTTACACTCTAGCTTGAACACCCATTTGAGCCCTATGGCTCGGTGTCCTGGTGGCATATCCTCTGAACTCCACGTCTTGTTGTCAGTGATGGACGCCATCTCTTTTTGCATTGCCTTTAGCCAACATGGGTTCTTCTCTACTTCGGCGAAAGAGTTCAGTTCATTCGCGTTGATGGCATGCAATTCGGCCACCTCTTCTTCGAGCTTGCGCGACGCCAGTCCCGATGGTTCACCTTCTCCTATTAGGTCTTCAATCTTCCAAGACGTGGCCGCCAAACCATCATCGTGATCGACATCCAATGTCGAATCTACAGTCAGTGTTGCGAACTCCACTAGTTCAGGGGGCGCCTCAGAAGTTGCGCCGGTGTTGGTCTAGCGTGCCCAGCGCAGCTACTAACGGCGGTGATAGTGCTCGGTGCTGCGCTTCTCCTTCTCTCAGCTTGGTGACAAGGTATTCCATCGTGAATTGTTCTGGGTTCTGGTATGCCTCGACCATGTTCCACCGCCTGAAGGTGTTCTCGTCGATGACGACGTCGCGCGACACGTGAGCTTGTCCCCCCTGCAGGATCATAGAGCTTGTATGCCTTGCTCCCGGGTTCGTAGCCAATGAAGACGACCTTCAGCCCCCGGGGATCGAGCTTAGCAAGGTGGAGATCTGTGATCTTCATGTACGCGACGTAGTCAAACACTCGGAGATGATGTACCACAGGCTTCTTATTGTACTAGACCTCGTGGTGTCTTTCCTTCGAGGCTTTGTGTTGGCGACCGGTTGAGGAGGTAGACATCCGTCATGAACACCTTTGCCCAGAACCTCCCGGGCATGTTGGCCGTCATTAGTAGTGATCTTGCCGTCTCGACGATGATTTGGTTCCAGCGCTCCACCTTGTTCTGCTAGAGGGAGTAGGGCGTCGTGAGGTGCCGCTACACGTCAAGCTTGTCACAGTACTTGTCGTAGCTTATCGAGGTGAATTCTTTGCGTCGGTCTGTGTAAAGCACTTACATCTTCTTCCCGCATTCGGCCTCTGCGTGCGCTTGAACGCATTTAATTGCCTCCGTTGCCTCACTCTTCGCTTGCAGCAGGATCAACCACGTGAAGCGACTCTTGTCATCAACCAGCAGGAGGAAGAGAGTCTTGTTGCTTGGGGTCGTCGGCTTGATAAGCCCGCAGAGATCGCCGTGTACGAGCTCCAGGTGGCTCACTGGCGTAGTAGGATGCTCGAGACGGAAAAGGGGTGCGCTTCTACTTGCTGATGAGACACCCATTGCACAGCTTGTTCACGCTTTCGATTGCGAGCAAATCGTACACCATCTCTTCCTTGTGTAGTTTCTATAGAGCAGGAAAGCTCAAGTGGCTGTACCTTGCGTGCCACCTCAAAGCTGCTTCTTCGATCCTGGCCAAGAGGCTGATCGGTTGTTCTATCTTTAACTCCAGGATGTAGAGGCGGTTCGCCGTACGCTAAACTTGCGTGAGGAGCCATCGTCGATCGTTGCAGATCTTGAGCAGCCCGAGCTCGATGTAGATGTAGCAGTCGGCCTCATTGAGTTGACCCAGGTTCACAAGGTTAGCCTTGAGCCTCAAGATAAAGTAGATGTCATTCAGCTTGCGGTGCTCGCTGTCCTTGCCGACGAACAGGATGATGTCGCGCCCTTCGATCTCGACGGTGGAGCCGTCGTCGAACTTCACCGTCCCGCGAATCCCTGAGTCGAGCTCAAAGAACGCAGACCTGGCCCCAGTCATATAGTTTGTTGCCCTTATATTAAGGACCCATCGCTGGTGCTCACCCCTTTCGCCGATCTGAGTGAACACTCACTCCTCCTTCAGCTAAATGAGCTCTCCAGCTGGTGCTTCTACCATGCCCAGCTGGAGCTCTTTTTCGAGATCTATTGAACCTTCACCGGAGCAGTGCCGCTGTCAATTACTTCTGTGGATTTGGAATCGGAATTGGGGAATACTGATAACACCGATGCGGTCACCATGAAAAATGCCGGCTTTTCCTCCTCGGATTAGGTCACATGGACCTTCTCCTAGTTCCTAGGCTTACTCTAGCAATCCTTGCCTAGGTGGCCTTTCTTCCCGCAGTTCGAGCATCGGATTGGCCTGCCATCAGCTGACTTCTTCTTCTGTTCCCCTTCTTTTCGGCGCGTGCGCTCGCAAGGTTTCCACTGCTTCTTGTTGCCTTTGTCGCCGGAGGACCCGCCGCTCTCGCTGGAGTTATCGCGGAGCTTTAGGCGTGCAAGCCACTCCTTCTCAATGAGGAGAAGACGACCTTGCTTGTCGACATCTGAAGCGACATTCTTCTTCCTCAACTCGACATTGCACAATCTTCCAGTCACCTCTTCCACTGTTAGGTCGTTCACGTTAAGCAATGTCTCGATCGAAATCGCGACTTGCTCAAGGTGATCTGGGGCGACCTACAACATCTTCTTCACGATCTCGTCTTGCTAATTCTCCCATCGAGAGTGGTAATGCTATTGGTGAACCCCGTGATCCGCATGAAAAAATCATCGACGAATTTGTCGTTCTTAAAGCGAATCTTCGAGAACTCCTTTCGCAGCTGCTCGATGTTGGACTCCCACACTCGTTACACACCAACCCGGCAGGATTTGATCCCCTCCCAGGCCGATTACGCGGTACGCTTGGTGGAGAGAGACACCAACATCTCTGGAGGCACAACCCGCAATATGGCGGCAAACACCAGCCGATCCTCCCAGTACTCAATAGCTTCTCCTTCCTTCGAGAACTCCTTGCGCTTGCAGGTTGACGCGCATCAACAAAGCCCACTCGTTGTAGTTGGACCTCATCAGCATTAGGTACTGCACAGAGGCAATTGTCTCCTTGATCACACGCTCGACGACGACTCGACGTCTGTCTTCGTGGCACCGGCCTCTTGGTGGCGGTGATGGAGATCGGCACTCGGCGACAATGTGGAGGAGTGCGTGAGCCTGTCCGGGATGGACCCCACGACGTGTGCATCTTCGTATTTTGGTGCATCTTCATATTTTGGTGCATCTTCTTCTACCTTGAACCTTGCTCTGATACCACTTATTGTCTTTCAGCCGAACCCTCTGTGATCGGTGAGAATGGGAACGACAAACAGAAGTGAACGAGGAATGGAGTCTGAGTTTTTCCTTTTTTTGTGCGGTTTAAAATCGTGCAGCTTTTCTCAGTTTTATAACAGTAATGAAAGACACAACAACACTTTAAACATGACGGAAGTGGTTAGTCGAAATCAAGCCACTCCATTGGACGTGACCGAAGGGGTCAACTGAAATCAAACCACTCCATTGAACGTGGCCGAAGTCTATGTTGGTTTATCTAACGGTCGACGGTTTATCTAAAAGACCCCATGTTTATCTAAGGAGCACTAATACAAATTTGGCTCTAACCAAAGTCTAGTTATTGGGAGTTTTAAAGGTTTTTTCTTTATTCCTTTTTTCTTTTTTTTTTTGCAAAATCTAGAATAGTATATTTAAATTTTTGTATAAAAATATATTTTTTTTCTTCGAGAAGCAATATCTTCGGAAGGGAAATATTTATGTGAAAACCCTTATCCAAATCCGTAAGGATTTCTTCTGCTGCGTAAAACTGAAGGGCAAATATTCGACCAAGCCGGCGGCGGCGATGGGCTACGCAGCCATCGTCATCGTTAGGTTATGAGATCCCCTTCCAATTCTCACCTCCATCTCAAATCTATATTGTCACTCCGTAAGTCATTCATGGCTTCCTCTTTCACACAAACCGACTTCCCTCAAGACCTCGACGACCTTCTCTGCTCCGATCCACACACACAGCCACAAGATGAATGCTCCTCTCTTACCAAATCCAATGACTCAACACTTCTCTTGGGGTCTCCGAGTGGATATTTGAGTGGCGAGTCGCGCATTGAGCGAGCCTGGGCTCACTGGTCCAAGCTCGGTCGTCCGAAGTTGATTGTAGCTCCGATGGTTGATAATTCGGAGCTTCCGTTCCGTTTGCTCTGCAGGAAATATGGTGCCGAGGCGGCGTATACACCTATGCTGCATTCACGGATCTTTACTGAGAACGAGAAGTATCGTAACATGGAATTCACAACTTGTCAGGTATGTTAAACGTTATAAGTCATTCTTTTGTGTTAACAACTTGAGTTTTCTGTTTAAGGATATAATATTGTCTGTATTTCTGTAAGTCTATTCTTCATTGTTCTTAAACTGTGGAATGATTCGTAGGAGGACCGTCCATTATTTGTTCAATTTTGTGCCAATGATCCCGATGTTTTGCTGGAAGCTGCTAGAAGAGTGGAGCCATATTGTGATTATGTCGATCTTAACCTCGGGTAATCTCTATTAGTCTAATTCGTATTCGAAGGGTAATTTGTACGAATATTTTCATTCCATATGTTCTTATATTCCAAATGCTGACCTCTTATACTTCTTGTGGGTTGGTGGAGTAAGGATTTGTCTTCCAAAAGAGTTCTTTGAATAAGAAACAATTTCATTGATGGTATGAAATTACGAAAGAAATAGCCTCCTTCTCTGATTAGCTATACTAATGAAAAAGAGGACGCATTTACACCAAGTTGCAACCAAACTAACTATAGCCTCGAAAAATCTAAGTTATGTGGGTTCCTTATCGTGAAAGATTCTTCTATTACGTTCTTGCCAAATGGTCAATAAATGTTCCAGATTGGTCAGTAATATGTGGGGAGGTTTGATAGGGTTGCTTATACGAGCGTAAGTCTAACCCCTTGAGATGCGTTTGTTGGTCCAGATTGGTGGACGTTGATGGGGGACGTTCCGAGGGTGAAGCCTTTAATGGCACTTATTTATTCAACATGAATAAAAAATCTACTAAAACAATCAACCATCCTAATGAAAAGAAAATGGGGAAAGTCGGTCACCTTGGCGATGACCTCCAGTAGCAAGAATCTCTCCTCTTGCTTCGCTGATAATGATAATTGGAAAATTAGGAAAGCAGATGCGACCTGTAATCCATTTACTCCATGTGTGGCTGGAGCTTTTTGCCAATAGGATCTCGTCTAAAAAAATCCCAGCCCACCTTGTTCAAAGCTTTCTCAATGCCTAGCTTAAGAACTGCCTCTTTTTTCATTCTCCTTTTCCACCCATCAATAAATTCATTTGCAATAAGGTTGTCTCAAGGATATGTCTACCACCTACAAAATTCGATTGGTATTCGGTGATAGTATGGGGAAGAACCTTCTTGAGAGACTCAGATAGAACTCAAGCAATGATCTTATACATACAAGAAATAAGGCTAGTTGGGTGAAACTAGCCAACAGTTTGGGCATTTGTTTTCTTGGGGATGAGGCATATGTAAGCCTCATTCAAGCTAGCATTGTAATCCCATTCTTGAAAATATCATGGAACACTGTTCCAAGACTTCTTCTAGAATTCAACTGTAAAACCATCCAGCCTCATTAGCACTCAATTCTTTCACAGAAGACCAAATTTCTTCTTTTGTAAAGGCCATCTCCAATTCCAATGCTTGTTGAGTGGTAATAGGGTCCCAATAAATAGGAGATGGAAAAAACTGGCACCCTTCTTTTTGGTAAAAAAGTCCACATAAAATATAAGAAATGCTTCTTCAATCTCCGTTTCAGTGACACTGTAACCATCCTTGGAAAGAATCTTTAAGATACATATATATTTTTTTTACTTCTTGAGGTCACATCCAATGAAAGAAGCTTGTGTTGATATCTCCTTCATTCAACTATTTCAATTTACAGCTTTGTCTCCACATGTTTTCTTCTTGGATAGCCAAGGATAAAAGCTAGGTTTTGATAGAAGTCTTCTGGGTGATTTGGATATGATGGATTTCCCCTGTTTCTTCAATGGAGTCCAAAACTAAGAACTCCATGGCAGGATTTCCTTCTAAATTTTGATGCTGCTAGAGGTTTCCTTGTTCCATGTTTTTTAACTGATTTGAGGCCCTCAAGTTTTGAATAAAGTCATGATCATCTGGCCAACCTCTCAAAAAATGTATTCAGCCACCAATATTCAACCTTAGAAAGAAAGCTTTGATGTTGCGTCCACATATTTTGGAATCTAAAATGAGTATGGCCTCATTTATCCACCCCAAAAGAAAGTTGAACGGGATAATGATTGAAACAATTCTTTCTGGTCTTTTAACCGTTGCAGTAGGGAATCTGTTAAGTGGTCGATGACAAGGAATATGTCAATAAGAGTGAGAGTGGGAGATTCCCTAAGATCTAAGCATGTGTACAGCCCATTTGTCATTGGAATCTCAGTAAGGGCCGCATGCTTTGCCTTGCGGTTCTTCAAGCATTATAATTTGCTTTTGAAGCGCATATTGTTCAAATACCCTCCCAAAAGCCATGATTCAGTGCGTTAAAAGGTCTAGTACCATAATTCCTCAGGCATAAATTCCCCATGAGTCAGTGTTCGATTTCCACAAACTAGTAATCGATGCTTGTTTTGTGAGGGAGAGATGGAAAAGAACAGGATATTTAGTTTGGACATTTTGGGTTCTCAACCAATTATCCTTCCAGAATAATGTTGTTTCCATTGCCAACCTCAGTAGTAATGTGGTTGTACACTGCTGTAATTTTCGAGTAACGACCTAGCTTTCTACTGACCTAGAGTCGTTGTCATATGCATGACGTAACTTTTTTATGCGGAATGATTCATTTCAACAACTTCATAAAACGACGTCAGTGACTTGAACCTTTAAGAAAAGGGTCTTATAACAATACAAATGAAATATTCAAAATAAATTAAAATAAACTAATGAAAATATTAAAATAACAATGCTCTATCCCACCTAAGATCTATGAAAATAAATGCAACTATCCTATGCAAGTTCATTAGTCTTTGGTGCGATGCTGTCATCACCCGTACATGGCTTGAGAAATATTCAGCAAGTGACCCTACTATTAGGAATGCAAACCCATGCAATCATTAATAAGGACCTATCATTTAGAACCATAGTCTCTTTGGGAGTTTCTAGTTCGAACAAACTGAATATGTAGTACTTCCCTACACACGACCCACATGTGCGAACGTGGGCCCACCAGGCGGGCTCACACACCCGTTGGGCCTGCATGGTCAGGCTAGTTGGCTATAGCGGACATTTGGAGGTACGACGACGTCGTGTATCATGCCAAGCACGATACTCATCATCTTCATAGTGTACACGTCCATACTCATCATAAATTGGGAACTATCTCGATGTAAATGGACATACAACATGAGGATATTTAATCATCTTAATCATTCATGCAGCACAACTCCCGCACATTCTTCACATATTACCCTAGGTAACATGCATGCATAAGGTTTCATACATTCATCATTCATAACATTACTTGGGAGTTTTGCATCAGAAAATTATTCATTGTCATACATGTCGTAGCATGTCATATCATAGTGCAACATGACTTCTCATATATGCATATCATCGTAACATAAGATATCATCATAATATATTATATCGTCATACATTTCATGTCATCGTAACATATTACATCATTGTTATAATGTTTCATAACATCATGGCATATCACATCATCATAACATATTACATCATCATAACATATCATAGCATCATAGCATATCATATCATCATACCACATCATATCAACAAACATGACACATGCAGGGGCTACTGGGCACATGTCATCATTAAGACAAGTCTTCCGACCGAGTTGATAGTAGGGCCACTTGGTTGCTCTAGGTTGAAACTACTATGACCCCTTGATTCTAGTTTAACGCTGCTCTCTGAAATGTAATTCTGCCTGAGGAGTCCCACAATAATAAATTAGAATTCTATTGTGTGAATTGTCTCACCTAATCTTGCATAAAATAATTTAAACCAGCTAAACCTAATTTATAATTTAAACTTATTCCTAATAATTTAAACTTATTCCTAATTTAGTAGTCAAACTAACTTTAAATGTTTCTAAAGAGTTGAAACTAATAGAAAAGTGTTCGAGCATATCAAACCCAAGCCAGATCAGTTAAAACGTTGGCATGTAGCCGTCAGATAATGTATTCTCCGATTGGCTTCGAACCGTTAAAGTGGGATGAAGGGGAGTCAAGGACCTTCTTTTTATGGTAGAGTCTAACTCCCCACTTTTCAACATAAGCAATGTGGGAGAACTTCCTTTTTTTTTTTTTTCTTGGGTTATTAAATCATACACATTTAAAATACTACATCATAACATATGCGACGTATCCATGCTTCACAAATACTTGGATGACTCGACTCACGTCGTAGATTACAAGGTCTTACAAATAGACGATAGCCTAAGATACGAGAAAAAACCAATAAGAATTTTATCTCGGGAAGTGAAGGTCTTCTGTACTAGGAATATGGTCTTTACAAAACCATTAAGCAGGAGAAACTATATGAGCACATAAGGGAGAGATGAGGGAGAAATACCCCGAGTAATTCCTAAATCGAGGCACTTTTGAGGACGAAAGTTTGTTTTAGATGTGTATGATATAATAACAAAAAAAAAAAAAAAAAAAAAA